GACAGAAAGATTAGATGTTATCTCAAGATGGAGAAGAAAGGAATATAGAGCAATGATTTCCTAAGTACAGAGTTTCTGTTTTGTGTGATGGAAAAACCCCACAAACGGACAGTAGTATCAAGGCATAATATCATGAATGTAATAAATCATATCATAAATATAGATATTGAATGAATACTGAGAATGTAATCAATGAATACAACAAATGTAATTAATATCATGAGTGTAATTAATTAATATAATGAGTGTAATTAATATCTTGAATGTAATTTATGCCACTGAATTGTGAACTTAAAAATGGTTACAATTGCAAATACTATATTCATTTAAAAAAAATAAGGTGGAATGTAATCACCATACATTATATGTGTGTATGAAATTGAAGACAGCGATGTTCTAAAATAGAAAGTGGTGATGGTGTCATGGGTCTAAGAGGATGCTGGACTAAAGTCTATCAAATTGTGCAAAGAGGCAAATTGTATACTATGTAAATTATTTGTCAATAAAGATTTTATAAAACATTAAAAAAAAAGATTTTCGACTACTTGTGTCCTGAGGGAGTAGGGGACTAAATCTAAGAAACAGTAAGTAGTATTTCCAGCAACAGCTCCTGAAATGGGAGCCCTTTTGTCTCCTGATTTGTAGATTGCCCCCAGTACAAACGAGCACCTAGTCTACAGTGGTTTGTTCTTTGAAAGTACAATCCCAGCACTCGGGAGGCAAGGCAAGCAGATCTCTGTGAGTTCCAGGACAGCCTGGTCTACAAAGTGAGATCCAGGACAGCCAGGGCTATACAGAGAAACCATGTCTCGAAAAACCAAAATAAATACAATGTAATAGGTTAGAAAAACCAAACTGCTTGGTATTTTATGATTTATACATACAGATATATTTGCATATATTTACAAAAACTAAAATAGTTGGGTAGAATGGTAAGATTAGGCAGTTGCTGGTATTTTGAGTATTCTAGAATAGCGTTTATAAAAAAGAAAGTACAGACATGAGGAGCCTAATTATATGTTATAAGGAATAATGAAGTATAATGAAGGCATTAGAGGTGCCAAGTTTAGAATCAAAGGTTTTTATTTCCACCGAGCTCTGAGGTTGGGTACTCCCACAGAATCTCGACATGTGAGACTCGGGAACATGTGCCTACCTCACCATACTTACATGAGACTATATTCGAAAAGAGAGAATGAGGAGAGGTAAATGTATGAGGTTCAGACTGGGGCACAGCAAAAGTGTGAAATCAGGGCTGGAGAGATGGTTCACAGTAGTTAACACTGGCTGCTGTTGCAGAAGACCCTGCTTTGATTCCCAGCACCCACATGGTGGCTTGAAATTCAGTTCTAGGGAATTCAAAACCCTCTTCTGGTATCTCTGGGTACTGGGCACACACATGGTACACAGATACACATGCAGGCAAAACACCCACACA